TCGGCCCACATTCCTTCTCTAATACCATTTGTTGCAATTGATCCCATTACACCAGTAGTTGCTACCCCACACCCCAAAGGCCTAAAGCAACAAGTCCAGCCCATGCTTAAATTAGCCTCGCAAGCTCCATTCAAAATTCTTTTCACTAGACCTCTCCCTTAGTGCAAGTCCCACACCACCAGTATTACATATACCATAGACTTCTTCACCTATTAGCTTGCCCTAGTCACTCATGCCCTATCTCCTCCTACACATGCAGTGCTCTTCACGACATAACACTAGTTTAAATCTCATTCTTGATTTAAGTCGGTATGAGATGGACCACTAAAACAAAGACCGTCCAAAATCCCGATCCCCCGAAAACATATCCTATGGTTCTACGATTTATGACTAAGAAAACTAGTGATGGATCCAAAAACTTTTTAAAGAAAATTACTAATATTATTAGATACATCTTTTTCAATATATTACTATTAAAATTATCCTTGATGAGTTTTCATATCTTGAAAATAACAAATAATAGTATCATTACTAACATTATTAGATACATCTTTTTCAATATATTTTACTAAACAATCATTTAACCATTGGTCACTAATTTTATTCCGCAAATCACTTCGATCAATTTCATTATGAAAAATGCTCGTTCCACGATTGCCGTTGCTACAAGTAGAATGAATGCCTACTTCGAAGTAAATACACTAATGGATAAATATTTTTTTTATCTCTACTATTTTCCTTGAAAGATCCTTTATCCCTTTCAAATTAGCAAACCTTTCATCTCCAAGGACGTCTACTAAATAATTCTCAAGTTGATTTCGAGTGCTTGAAGCTCAATAACAAAAAAATCACATGGATAAAACTCAACCATCTTTAACAACTTTTCCTTATCAAATGCGTTAAAAGAATTATTGGGCTTAAGCAATCAATACAAAGAAGTAATTCGGTGTTCAATTAATTAAAATGACTATTAAGCTCCTAAAGTTGCATATCTATGGCAACATAGAATAAATCAACTTGATAATAGTGTAAATTGCTAACTTGTGAAGCTTTGCAATGCTTTTTTCGAGCATATGCATCTTCCATGTTTGGAATTTGAAAACCGTGCTTGTTGTAAATGGAAGAAACATCATTAAAAAAATCTTTCCATCCATCATCTCTTGTTTGTTGCAATCTTTGCTTGGTAACTTTAACAAGTGAGATAGCATTTACAATGTCTTGATCCCTTTTTTACAATGCCAAATTTAACTCATTTGTAATACATAAAATAGTCAGCATCAAATGCATACAAAAGATAAAATCAAATGACTCCAATAAATCCGAAATACGACGTGTTTTTGCTTTTTGATCTTAACATATGCCATCATTCTCAATGTCTTCAAGCATTTCAATAATTGAATCGAACATAGTCATCACATTCAAAAGTGATCCATAGTGAGTCCCCAACGAGTATCATCGACTCTTTTAATGCTCATTTCTTGGTTCAATCCTCGACCACTTTGAAGCTTTTCATTAAGTAATGCTTCAACTATATTTTTTCCTCGTTTCTTTCTAAGCTTGTCTCGATGTTTGCAAGAAGCTCCAATCATATTCATCAAGCGAGCAATTAAATCAAAGAAATTATTAATGGCAAAATGATTCTTTGCAATAAACACAAGTGTCAATTGTAATTAATGAGCAAAAATAATGAATGTAATATGCCGATGTAGTTTCTTTCATAACCAAAGCTTTCAAGCCATTGAACTCACCTTTCATATTAATCGCTCCATCATAACTTTATCCCTAAATTCTTAATAGACTTAATCCATGTTTTAAAAGCATAGATCGAAGTGTAGCTTTAAGTGATGTAGTCGAAGTATCGATAATATGTGCAATGCCAATAAATCTCTTCATTACAAATCCTCTTCTATCCACATATCGTAAAACCAAGGCCATTTGCTCTTTACATGATACATTATGACATTCATTAACTAAAATCTCAAAAAAATCCCCAAGGTCTTCAATTATTGCCTTGGTGGTTTCTTTTGCAATAGCATGCACGATGTCTTTTTGGATCGAAGGATCAATCATCCGTTGATTTCCGAAGCATTACGAAATACAACACTACCCACTTTTTCATTATGTTAGGCATAAAAATGTAGAAGTTCAAGACAATTTCCTGTATTATTTGAACCTTCACGTTCATCATAATCACGAAAAGGCAATCCTTGTCTTGAAAGGAATCTCACACAATCAACATATTCATTTAATCGAGTTTTATACTTAGTCTTGATCGTGGGTAGCAAGTTTGTTTGCCTATCAAAAGCAAAATGGATAGATTGAGATTATTTCATCAAATCTTTGCATTTTTGAACCGTCATACTATTTGCACTTCCAACATCATGAACTTCTAGTCGTGATCTTTTGTTCCAAGCCTTAAATCCTTCACACAAAAGAATTAGCACCACCTTGGTTTTTAATTTCGAGTTTAAACAAATAACAACATAAGCAAAGGTGCTACCCCTTTTATACTATATTCCAACCAATATTTATATTCAAGCAAACCAAGCGAATTAAATCGATGTAATCTACCTCCAAGATCTCTTGGTTGAAAATCATAAGGATGAGGTTGACAAGGGCCTTTTTGAAGGTATGCTCTTCTAACTTCATCTCGATCATTAGGATGGTAAATTTCAATTCTTGGTCATTATCTAGGACTACCTATAAGAGAATTTGAATCAACTCTTGTTCACTCTTCTTCAACTAAAAGCATTGCTTGTTTTTTATGATACCTCAACATAACTCACTAACGAAAAAGAAAGAGATAATAAAAAATTAAAATTTTTAAAATAATATGAACAAAGCATCATTAATTTGTCGAATTTCTTTCACTTTTTTACATCTAATTTGATACAAGATGTCATAAAAGAAAGATTAAATCAACTAGATTTAATAGAGTACTTAAATATTAAATAGGGATTATAGGTTTGGATCATTTGGTATTATTTATAAAGAGAGATATAATTCTTAATTCTTAAACCCTAAATAATTTAATAATCTACAATAACAAGAATTAAATCATGATAATTATTCATAAACAAATAAAATTATCTATTTGAATCAAGAATCTCAAATATATAATTGAATTTAATAAAAAAAAAAAAAGAAGTATTGAAAACAAACCTAAGTCATGAAATCCACACCAACTTAATAGGAGAGGTTTTTTTTTTTTTTAAAAAAAAAAACCTTTTGATTTGGTAAAAGAGATGAAATAGGATTGAAGAAAATGAAAGAATGATGGAGAATTGGCCAATTAAAAGAGAACGTGAGAAGTTGAATTATCGAGAAAGGAACTAAAATGTGGAAGGGTGGTGGGGTTCAGGAGCTGTTAAAAGCCTTTGAGAGCAAGAGAGAATAGAAAATAAGTGATATAGTTGTTTAATTAATAAGCTAAACAACGGGTATTTTTTTGATAATGGGCATAAGCTAAACAATGAGTATTTTTATGGGTAATGGACTTAGGCTAAACAATGGGTATTTTTTTTTTGGACAGTAGGCTAATGTGTATTGTTTTTGGGTAATGGACTAGGTAGTAAATGGATTAATAGGTAGTTTTTTTTATTTGAAAACTACATGGTATTTTTTATTTTTCATTGACAAAGTGGGTCCATGGACCCCACTTTGTTATGAGTAAATCCGCCCTTGAAGAAGACCCAGCCACATGCCTCCCTTGCTGTGTCATAGACGACAGTTACTAAGGCTCCATCTTGCTTCTATAAAGTATGAAAACACTTGGCTTGGAGGACAAACATTTCAGTAGAAATTTCGGCCCTTCTACACTCGGGTACTTAGTCTTTGGTTCCCCCTTTTGATTCTTAAATATCGTTGGAAGAAAATGGGTCTTTAAGACCAAAAAGGCAGATGGTGCCACAAATCCAAGTTAGTTGTAAAGGGTTTTAATCAGTTGGAGGGAATTGATTATGGGGAAACTTTCAGTCGTCCAATGGTTAAACCTAACACAATCCGTTGTGTTCTAGCACTTACGGTGTCTTATGGCTGGACGATTAAGCAATGGGACATCCATAATGCCTTCCTAAATGGTACCTTTCATGAACCAGTATACATGTCTCAACCCATTGGCTTTATGGACACTCATTTTCATCACCACGTCTGTTGGTTACGTAGTTCTATTTATGGCCTCAAGCAATCCCCTAGAGTTTACTAATTTTTTTATAAAATATTTTATCCAAAACAGCATGAAAAAAAAAAACCAGAAAATATTTCACATAAAAACAAACGTCTTCTAAATGATAAATTTATTCACTATGATGAAAGAAAAAAATGGATGAAATGTTACTTTGTTTTTACAATCAGAAATGGAAAAAAAAAAAAAGAAAAAAAAAGAAAAAGAAAGAAACAACACGCTCTTTTAAGTTTAGGGAAAAAAAACACCATTAAAGTATGCTTGGAATTGTTCTCGGTTTTTTTTTTCTACTTTTTATATATAAAAAAAAATCATGTTCTTTATTAATTTCTTTTGATGTCCCCAATTGTTAGTTTTTTGCCTTCTATTTGAAAAAGATATATTTTTTTAAATGACAACGAATTAATTAGTTCTTCTGATTTCAAAAATCAACCATTTAGGGTTTTTTTTTTTTTAAGAAATAGAAAAAAAAATTAGTAAAAATTATGAAAAGATTGATGAGAAGATCTAGTTTTCTTATAATAAATGCGGAATAATTCAATATGAGACAAAAATCGAACTTTACCCGGTAATTAAGATGTATTTGCTCCCAACTTGCATTACTACCTCCAGCTCCCGTTTGGTCATTTTCATGCTTTTTGTGTAGAACTCACGGGTTCATTTCTTTGGCATAAGAATTAATTTCCTCCTTTTTTTTATTGTCTGAAATTTTTGTCTGAAATAAAACCTGAACCACAAATCATCCATCTCTAAAAACAAGCACGAAGTTGAGATTTCCATCCTCAAATGAAAAAATCCTAGTCCAAAACACTAAGCAATGGCTCTTTTCCACTTTGCTTCATCATTTTGCTCTGTCCCCAAATTGTCATCTCCAAGTCGTGCCTCAGTAGGATTTGCATCAAGCAAGAAGTATTGCCCTTTACCTTGCCAAGTTCGTTGCAAGGTGGACACCCAAACTACTGATCTAATCGTCCGGCGATCAGCAAATTATCAAACTTCCATATGGGAGTATGATTTTGTTCAGTCACTGACAAGTAAATATGTGGTATAATTGCTTGCAATCTTAATCTCATTTCATTATCATACAACTTGAGTTGAATTTAATGTAAAAACAGCTAACAGGAATTTGATGTTGTTTAGGGAGAGCCATGCATAGCAAGAGCTGAAATTCTGAAGGCAAAGGTAAGGATGATGTTGGCGAAAGCATCGAAATCCTTAGATCAAATTGGGCTAATCGATACCTTGCAAAGACTTGGATTAGCTTATCATTTTGAAGATGAAATAGAGAGCATATTGAAGAGCTTAGTTAACGATAATTATATGGAGAATACAATGAGAAGACATGACTTGTATGCTACTGCTCTCGAATTTCGACTCCTAAGGGAGCATGGGTATAATATACCTCAAGGTAAGCCTTTAATCCACGTATAGTATTGGTGGTTGGATGTTCATAATTGTCCAAGGCTTTTTTTTTTTTTAGACGTTTTCAGTCAGTTCAAGGACGAAGGAGGAAACTTCAGGGCATGTTTTTGTGACGATATGAAGGGAATGCTATATCTTTATGAAGCTACATACTTGTTGTTCGAAGGTGAGAGTATCTTGGAGGATGCAAGAGATTTCAGTACTAAAAATCTGAAAAAATATGTCAAGAAGTGCAACACTTCGGAATATCTTTCCAAGTTAGTGAGCCATGCCCTAGAGCTTCCATTAGCTTGGAGGATGCTAAGATTGGAGGCCAATTGGTTCGTCAATGTCTATGAAACTAAAACTGATATGAATCCAATTTTGTTAGACCTAGCTAAGTTGGATTTCAACATGGTGCAAGCAATACACCAAGAAGACCTGAAACATTCATCCAGGTACGCATGACGGATTAGAAGGTTTTTTATATATAATTTGAGTGCAAGTTATATATAATCAGTATAACATGTATTAATGAAATTTTCTCTAATAGTTTAAGTTTTTTGATTTGATGGTTCTCCAACATTATTTAATTAATTAAATTTACTTTCTGGGGCTTTTCTCTTATAGTGATAGTTTAATTTTTTAATATGAGAAGGTGGTGGAAGATCACAGGACTTGGAGAAAAGTTGGACTTTGCCAGGGATAGGCTCATGGCGAATTTTTTGTGGACTGTAGGGGCGATATTTGAACCTCAATTTGGAAATTTGAGAAGAATGCTAACGAAACTCAATTCACTTATAACCACAATTGATGATGTTTATGATGTCTATGGCACCTTAGATGAGCTTGAGCTATTCACAGATGCCGTTATAAGGTTTGTGCAGCAGCTTAGTCCGGGACTCCAAGGCACATTTATGATGCTAAATATTGATTAGTTTTTTTTTTCTTAAAAAAAAAATTCTTAACGTACGAAAACTTCTTTATGCTCTAATTTCAGATGGGATTTAAACTTCATGGATCGGCTTCCGGACTACATGAAGTTATGCTATTTTGCTTTGTTCAATTGCATAAACGAAATGGCTTATAATGTTTTTAAAGATCAAGGAGTTGATATCCTTCCTCGCCTAAGGAAATCGGTATTTGTCCAATCCCATTTTTTTTAGTGTTATTTTTTGGCTAAATGAATTAAACATCTCCTGAATTTTAACTCATTTGAAATTAAGTTTTGAAAATTTAAATTAGTTTTTAAAAACCTGAATTTTTAATTTTTTTCAGATTTAATCCATCCAATAATTTTTAACTATCATTCTCTCCTCTTAAAAAAATAATAATAATCATTTCTTGGTATTTTGAGATGAAATTTTACACAGATGACAAAAATTCAATCCATTTTCTAAAAATCTCAAAATCGAAAAGTATATTTGTTTAATTTTTTTAACATTAAAAATATAAAAAAATCATAAAAATATAAAATAACTCGAAAATGATCCCAATTTTTTTTTAAGACTCTCATATGAATCTCATTGAATGATTTCTATCTCAAACTTATTTATCTGATTGTTATTTGTTGGGATAAATGACAAAAAAACTAAAAAATGAACTAAATCTTAAAAAATTAAAAATTCATAAATCCTACAAACTAAATTTGAAATTGAAAGACTTAATTTCAAACGAGTTAAACTTTAAGAGATGTTTGACCTATTTAGCCTTATTTTTCGAATGTGTTAGCTACATTGTTCCTTCTTTTTTTTTTTTTTTAAGAATAAATAGTTTAATTTATCCTTATATAATTAGGTAAGTTTTCAATATGTACCTATATTTTTTATTATGCCTATTATGTCCTTATATAGCATCGAACTTTTCAATATGTCCTTTAATCAAGTTTTTTCACTCAAATTAACAGAATTTAACTTTTCATTCTAAAATTGCCACTATTAATTTTCAGTGGGCAGATTTATGTAAATCATATTTATTGGAGGCAAAGTGGTACTACATTGGATATACACCAACGCTTCAAGAATACTTAGATAATGCATGGATTTCAGTTGCAGCACCACTCGTTCTAGTCCATGCATATTTTTTTATTTCAAATCCAACAACAGAGGAAGACTCACAATTCTTGGAGGAATGCCCGGATATAATTCGATTGCCCTCCATGATTATACGCCTAGCTGATGATCTTGGAACCTCCTCGGTATGCCATCTCCTTGAGATCGTTTCCAACTTGATTTCCCTTTTTTTTTCTTTTTTTTTTTTTAAAATTGCATTTTAGTGCTTGCTATATATTCGGTTTTATTCTTCCACATTAGTTCCTAAAAATTGCATAATTCTTCAGAATTAACATTCTAGTTTTCCCAAAGTTCCAATGTAGTTGATGGAATGCTAAACTTTCTCATAACTTGCAGGTACCGTCCATCAGTTTGAATTTAGATGCCATTGCAATTGACAATTACGTCAAATTAACTATTCATATATCTAGAGTTTTATTAAATGTGTATCGTAAGGATATCATGAATTCGAGTTCTTCTCCATAAAACAAAAACGAATTAATTTAAAAGATTACAGATATGTGTGTTTTGCTACATTTCTTGGTTTTTCAAACTCGTAAACGATATTAGAACTTACCTCTGCTTTGATATATTTTTAATTAAATATTATTCAACCTTTTGTTTGATTTTTGCACATTATCTTTAATCAAGAGTTTATCTGGCTTCTTAGCTGTCACATATGTATGGAGTGGTTGAGGCCCATGAAATAGTACGCATGCTTTTGTTAAAAATGGGTCACTATATTAGATTTTCGTTTGGCCCAAGAAGAAGTTACTTTGGACCCGTTAGTAAAAAGCCCATAGCTTATATATGAAAACCCATTGATACAAAGATAGTTGGTATATTTATTTATCATAGTAAATGTTTACATTAATTAAATTTATTTTGATATATATCGTTTTATTTTGATAAAGATAGTTTATATATAGTGATATTATATGTGTGTGAGTTAAAATGTAATACTCAAAGTTTTTTATCCGTTTTTTTTCAATTCTTAATTGCATCTCATGTTTCTTTGGAAATTTTGAAATATTTAATTAAATTTCTTTTTTTTTTTTTGTATTTCAATTAGGGAATTTTTTTTGAAAAAAAACTCTATATTCAAAAAATTGATCGAAATAAGAGACTAAACATTTCAAAAAAAATTTAGAAACAAATTAGATACAATTAAAAATTTAATGATAAATTAAAAAAACTTTAGATATCATATAAAGACATATTGATCTATTTACCTTATATATATATATATATATATATGCTGATTTTCTATTTGTTATTTACAGGATGAAATAAAAAGAGGTGATGTTCCAAAATCAATCCAATGTTACATGCATGAGAGTGGAGTTTGTGAAGAAGAAGCTCGTCAGCATATAAGAAATTTAATTAGCAATACATGGAAGAAATTTAATGAAGATCGGTGTGATAATCCCCAAGTCTCTCAAACTTTCATTCGATTTGCAATGAACTTTGCTCGAACGGCACAATGCATGTACCAATATGGAGATGGGCATGGCGTTGAACATTTTGAGACAAAGGATCGGATCACATCCTTACTTATTCACCCATTTTAATTCATCATGAAAAAAGAACTAGTTTAATAAAAGAAGAGTGTTACTTATGGTGTAAACTTATCTAAATGAAGATTAATATATAATAAACTTGGATTTTTTTGTGATTTTTTTTTTAGAATAAAAGAATGGTTTTATTTAGGTAGAAAACTCAACATCCATATTTATAATAGTGGAAATCGCAGGTGAAAAATCTTTTGCCAAGACAATGAGCTGTCATATAGGCATTCCTATTAACATGCATGCTTACTGGGAAAGGAATTAAAATAGGATTAATAGTTACATAGGTCTCTCTACTTCTTTTTTCTTGATTGTGTCTTTTTATTTTTTTATTCATGTTAAGTTCATCCATTTATATTTAGCTTATATTTTAATCTCGTCTTTTCATTAATTTTTGAACTAACGGTGTTAATTCTTTTTTTTTTTCTGTCTTAACATCATCCCTCTACTCTAATTTTATGTTTTGATCTTTTTTTTAATCAATTTTAAATAAAAAAAATTAAAAAAAATGAAAGAAAGATAAAGATATATTAGGTCATTCTCTCTACAAATTGAAAAAAAAAAAAAGTTAAAAATAAATTTTTATCCAAAATATTATTTATCAGCTTAAATTTATTTTTATGAATTTTTAGGGAATTTTTTTAGGAATGAAAGATGGGTTTTATTTAAATAGAAAAATCAACATCCATATTTATAATAGTGGAAATCTCGGGTGAAAAATCTTTTGCCAAGAGAATGAGCCGCCATATGCGCATTCGCCTTAACATGCTTACAAAAAAAAAAAAAAAAAAAAAAAAAAAAAAAACGTGACAAGAGAGCTAAGACATCATGGGCCAAAGATCCCACCATATTCTGACCTGGGTCAGTACTATTGATTTTTTACTATTTTAATTTTTTTATTTTTTTAACTTAATTGAAATATTTTCTTCTTATAAATTTATAAATTCATACTCTTCTTCAATTCTTTATTCAACGTAACACGTTAAAATTAACGATAACCAATAACAAATGGATAAGTGGCTTTATGTGTTCTACAAAATAGTTTTTTCATCAAAATTTAAAAAAAAAAAAGAAAATTAAAAAACTGATTTTTATAATAAACCAGTACTTAAAAAAAAACCAAAAAACCCTTAAAACCCAGTTAAATTTTCCATCTTCAATTCTAAAACCTGCCTATGCAAGAAAACCTTGCTTCTCAAATCTGTAAAACTGGATTTCCAAATACAAGAGCAATAAGAATCATGCATATTATAAATAACGCAAACACTACAGTCTGCAGGTCATTGAAGCAAACTCTTCATCACGTTATAATAACGAAACTTGATGCACAAAAGATAGACAAAAAAAATCTACCAAAACTTTGAAGAGGGAGAGAAAAAATATTATGTAATATTCGTTCATCATTTTTTCAAAATTTATTTGGTATTACCCTCTCTATAAAAAATCTGATGTTTTATACCTTTATTAAATTTCAAAAACTTGTTGAAAGATAATTTAATTGTAAAATTAAACAAGTACAAGCGAATTAAATTTGGTTATTTAAATCTATTTTTTAAAACTATATTTATTGCTTATCAAATAATGATATCATCACATTATTAAAACTAGATTAGCATTATTAGTTGAGGGTAATATTCCAAAATCATACTTAAAACTCCTATTTTTGCAATTAATCGCTTGACTTCCTTTATATCAAAAAACATATCTCCTTATGAAATTATTTATGGTTACAAACATGATTCTTTTCTTCTAAATTTTTTTGGGTGTTTATATTTTTTATATTCACTACTGTATAATAAATATAAAATGGATTTCAGATCAACTCCATATGTGTGTTTTTCTCGGGCATAGTCCTTTTCACTTAAGTTATCGATATCTATATTTCAAAACTTATTGTTTTTACATATTTCATCATGTCAACTTCGTTGAATTAGAATTTCTATTTTTCGCTTAATTGTATCAGCCTGTTTCTTCCCAAGGCACGGTCCACTCCACTAATTGGGCCTGTGTTCGCGCCCTAAATCCAGCCTCTCACTTTATTGTTCTGCATGTCTCACATCCAGCACAGCCCACATTCCTTCTCTAACACCATTTGCTACAACTGATCACACTACACCAGCAGTCGCTAGTCAGTTCACCCAAAATCAAACGGCCCACTCTCACCAAAGCCCAATGTCACCACCTCACACCCCAAAAGCCCAAAGCAACAACTCTAGCCTATGCTTAAATCAGCCTGCAGGCTCCATTCAAAATTCTTTTCATCAGACCTCTTCCCTCAGTGCAAGCCCCACACTACTAGTGCTAAATACACCATTTGCTTCTTCACCTATTAGCTTGCCCCGGTCGCCACATGCCCTATCTCCTCCCACCCAACCAGGCTCTTCACGACAGAACACTAGCATAAATCTCGTTCTTGATTTAAGTCAGTATGAGATGGACCACTAAAACAGCACTGCCTACCTTTAGCCACTTGAAAATCATCTAAACAAAAGGAATGTTGCTCGAAGCTCTTAGAAAGTTGAATATAAAGCCGTAGCTAACTTGATAATATTGGAGCTACGTGCCTGGCTGTTAAAGCATTATTCATGCTCGTATTAAGCACGTCGAATTTGACTTTCATTTTGTCAAGAACATATTTTCGAGAGGGAGTCTAAAGATACCTTTTATTTTCAATCAGGATCAAATAGCTGACTTTCTCACCAAACCTTTAGCCACTACGCGATTTTAATTTCTACAAAACAAACTACCTTTGGGTGCAATACCACATTCAATTTGTGGGGAGTGTTAAAACAAGTTGTTGCCATGTCTTCTTCAATAGAGTCCTCTTCCTTTCCTACCTCTATTGTCGTGTCCTCTTTCCTCTCCTAGGTCTCCTGCTGCCGTGCCTTCTTCATCTACTAAGTCTCTTGCTGCTGAATCATCTTCATCTCCTAAGTCTCCTGCACATAAGTAACAACATATACTAGCCAAGGACTGAATATAGTAATAGAAGTTAGGATAGAAGTCTTATCCTTTTATCTTTTTGTACTTGTAATCTTATCACCTATGTAAAACTCTATAAGAGATACAGTAACACAAGAAATACTCGGTTGAGAATTAACACTTTGCTAAGCCTTCTCGCTTTTCAATTAAGTTGAATAAGATAGGCACACCACCTTTTATTTTTCCTTTTTAAAATTAAACAACCCGGGAAAATTAAAAGGTAATATCCAAAATTCATCTTCTGGCAATTGGCATGGTTAATTGATTTATTTTGCCCTTTTGTGTCACTTGTTGTATCACTACAAAAATCTATTAAATTAGCGACGGTCTAGACCGTTACTAAATCTGAAAAACCGTCGGTAAGATGATTTAGCGACGGTCAAAAGCATGTCGCTAAAATGCTTGTTGTTGAATTTTTGGGCCGGTTTTTAGACCGTTGGAAATTTAACAATGGACTAAACCGTTGCAAAGAAAAAAAAGCTGTTGCTAAATATGGTAGTAAATCGTGAGAATATTTGTGATGGTATATGAAACCCTCGGTAATTTTGTCACTATTTAGAGACGGACTTTGCGATGGCTCGGTGATAGTTGCAAATTAATTTTTATTAGCAATGGTCTAGACGAGTCGCTAATTGTTTAATTGTAATTTTTTTTGCCGCCTAATTAAAATTAGGTCAAATTAACAAATTTTAAATAAAAAATTCTAATAAAATATCTTAAACATAATATTTTAAAATTTCAAATGTATTAATATAAATTGTATTAAATGTCACTAAATATTATTTAATTATTAAATTAATGAAAACAAGTACAAAGTTTGCGAGTTATTAAAAGAAAACGTGAAAGCTAAAAGAAATGACTAGGATCACTCGGAGGTTAGGTGGAGTCGTCGTCAATCTCGGGGATGGCGGATAAACTACCATCTTGCTGAAAAATGCCGCATGAACATCTCGCTCCATCCGTGATTATCACCGTATATTGCTTTCGACTATACTCCTTCAACTCATTTGTTATAGCGAATAACGATATGACACGGTCCTCTAGCGTGTTGACGGTACTCCGTAGGTTATGGATAACTCGTCGTATTTGTAGATGTTTGATCATGTATTTCTTTAAGCCGTGCCTCGTCGGCAGCATGGAATTAAGAAGTTGTAGAGCTTAAGGTCGTATTGACATTAAAGTAATAGTGAGATACGTGTGATCGGAGTCTATACATCCTCTTCCTCCTACTATCTCTCCACCAACGGTCTTCCTAAAAATCTCATTAATGTTGGCTCCGATCGATGTAGTCCTCCCGGATTATCGGCTAGTAACCTCTTCCTCATTTATTAATCTTTGTACGATCTCCTACATAATTGTGAAACACCTCATATTAAATATGTATGTCAAATAATGTTACAAATTAATAAATATGAAATAATGTTATAAACTAATAGCTTACATCGATAAGCCTTGATCGTTAATCGACGAAGACAAACCGATCATCAACCTTTCTCCGATGAGTCCTCAAGAAAACCTTATGAGGATCAAGTTCACGACCCAACACATGCCGAAACCATAAATATACGTAAATATATTAAATATACTTTTACCATGCGTATGACGTGCTCTCTATGGCCGATCGATCCCCCCATATGTCTTCAAGGACCAGCTCCAACGCCACCGGTCTCGCTCCTACGGTTCGCGTCGTTATCTCGGATTGGGCGGCGACCTCAAGTTTTGCCCATTCCGTAGTCCATGCATCCCATATTTTCCGTGAGATAAATGCTAGCTTCGGTTTTTCCCTTAGATGACAAAGAAAGTCAAAATATTGCTTTCGTGTGAGACTTTCACATTCTTTCTTTCTTAACTATGTCGTCGTTCATATCATCATCCCACTTAGATGATTTCGCAAGAAAAATAATAATAATCATTACTAAATTTATTTGGATATTACTTTGTGTTCTTTAGTTAAATATTAAATAATGTAATCAATTAATTTAAAAAATTAGTACCTTAAACTCTTCCCAAGTAGAAGTTTTTTATCTATGGACTCATTTTCTTCCATATCCATCCGTAAATATGAACATATTCTTGGAATGTCTTAACGATCGTGCGAGAGCAAACATTAGAGGGATACAACCTATAAAAAATAGACAATAATTAAATTAAAAAATAAATGAGTACATAATAACGATAATGAAAAAATATGTCATAAAATTAAGCATAAATTGTACTCATCGCGACCAACGACAATGACTCTAACTCACGGTGTCGATTGTAAATGTGATAGGTTTCGAAGTCGATTGACGCAGGACGTTGCACGACGAAATGTGTTCGAGAACGGAATGGTTGTCTTAATGTGATGACGAGGGCATTGATGACGACAAAGGAAAAGATGAGGGAGGATATGGAGGTTCATAATAAGGAAATGGCCGAGGTTGAGACATGTCAAGCATTGAACGATATGTCGGGGAGACACAAGAAGAGTGGTATGGAGGCATGTCCGTGGGGGCCCTATCTAACCATGAACAGAATGAGAATGATGTCCATGTCCACGATCACTTTTTGACTCAACATCCGAACCACGACCTCAATCTTGAGCCATTATGACCTACACATTATTACATTTATTAGTATTGAAATAAAATATTCATTATTTAATACGTACTAACATATAACATTCAAATTAATATGACCAATTTGAAATATATTTAAATAACATTAACACACAAACATATATTTAAATCTTACATTTAAAAAGTACAAATAAACTATGTAGGCCAACAAAACCATATACCTAATTTTTTTTATGGAACAGGGATGATACCCCGGAGATATATTGAAATAATGTAAAAAATTACATGGGGGACAAAACCAACCTAGCCCAACAACCTAGGAGGACAAGGTTGCCTAAACCCTTCATTTCGTACCGTAATTACATAAAATCCATGTGCATAATTTTTCGATTGAATATAAAAAATAATATTACATAATCCGATAAGATCTATCATATTGCTAATTAGTATCATGATCATCATTGTCACATTTTTCATCTAAGTCTTCCTCAACATCTATTTCAAACTCATCTTTATTCTCTAGATTAATTTCACCCCTTTTAAATCTAATAATGCTCCAGTTGGATCAATCAATGATTAGCCTTGATCATCATCAACGTGGATGACATTGTGTTGGCCTTCCATTTCGTTTTCTTAAAAGGGTTCGATATTTGTTTGATTGATGATAACGGATGATTCCGACACACCCATCATCGGCCTTGGTTTGACCTTACATATCGCTAACCAATCGTGTCTTATGCATTTAGATGTAAGATATGTTACATAATACACCTAATGCGTTTATGATGCTAGTATGAAGGGATTAGATCTATTTGAAGATCTACGACTATAGACCTCGACTAGTCCATAATGATCATGGACTCTTATACCGATGCTAGGTATAGTATCATACCAATCACATTTGAATGAAACATTTTTTTATTGATAAGGCAGGATACTCAAATTCGAGTATGTCAATCGACTTACCGTAGTAGTCATTTTTCACCACACCGTAGCTAACTCCTTTTACACACACTCCACTACACATTGATGCTCTCTCCGAACTACGAACATCGGTGTGGAACCTAAACCCATTCATAATATATCTCGTATACGACTTAGATGTTCACAATGATCCTTTTGCCGGATCTTTAATGTAATGATCTCATTATCGTATTAGGTCGTGCTTGATTTACTCGCAAAGATTGGGTAAATTATAACTTAATATTAGTATAAAATTTGATAAAATCATTTTATGAGTAATTAATAACAATCTTTACTTTCTTATACTCACTTATCGATGGAACCATTATGCAAATTCAGTTTGAAGTCGAACATCTACCTCGTTTTTTGATATGTCGGGATCACTTTCATACAATTGGGTGATAAAATATCCGAGGAAGAAAAATATTCTTATTATATGTTATAAAAATGAATGACACTTAATGAATAACTATATAGTAACATTTAACAGCTTATAGCACTTACTCCATGTAAGGTGTCATCTCATCACAGCTCAACAAAATGTATGTATGCGATGCATTCTTTTCTTGATCCGTCAAGATATGTGATCTTGCTCGACCAAGTGGTCTACTTTTAGGTTTGGTTATTGCAAAGCATCCCTTCAATACTCGTCATTTGGTTCTCGACGACACTCAAAGTTTCTAAGCACTTTTTAATGTTTAGTGTGTACATGAGGCTTGAAGTAATATGAACGTAACATTGAAGCTTCCTCAACTAAATATGCGTTGCATATTGACCCTTTGACTCTAGCTTTATTCTTAACATTGTTTTTTAATTTTTGAAGGTACCTACAATAATATTGTGAATGCATTATACTTAACAAATATTTTAAAGAGTTGCTTAATAACGAATGTCAAAAAATTAAAAAAATATTTACCTTTTAAATGGATACATCCATCGATATTGTATAGGTCTTGCTATTTTTGCTTCATATGCTAAGTGTACGGGAAGATGCTCCATGGAGTAAAAAAAATAAATGGAAAAATATGCTCTAATTTGCATAGGATTATTGATATATCTTTCTCAAGACGGGTCATATCTTCAACCTTAATCATAATAGATATCAATTCCTTAAAGAATAAGCTAAGCTCGGTTAGTGATTGCCATACATTTGTTGGTAACATGTCACAAAATATGACAAGTATTAGCCTTTGCATAAATACAAGACAGCTTATGACTTTTCATGCCATGTAATCCGAGGTTATTCATATCGACACACCTTGCCAAGTTAGAGACATATCCGTCCGGAAACTTGAGTTGTTGAATCCATTCTAGTAATTGTATTTTTTGTTGTTTGTCTAGAGTGTAACAAGCTTTTGGATATTTTCTAGAGTTTTCATCTATTTCTAATTCGAGCCATTGACAATATAGCTTTAAGCCTTTTCTAGAATTTACATTGTCTTTTGTTTTCCCTAACATATTCATAATTGTATTAAACACATTATTGAAGATATTTTTTTCAATGTGTATCACATTCAAATTATGCCGAATTAGATTAGAACTCTAATAAGCTAGATCCCAAAATATATTATATTTTTTTCAACCATAATATTTAGATACATTATTATTATACTCATCGAATCCCTCTTCCGTTACTTTTAAAAACTCCCAATGGTTTAATTCTTGCAAATTTTAATTCCGGACTTGATCGGAGGAGCAATGTCCGTAAAAACTGAAT